AGTAGGATCTATTTCTGTTACAATTTTCTATATTACGAGTATACGCAATTAAAAATGCCAGACTAACCACAGGCAACGTTTACTTTATTTTTGTTCGTTTTAAATACCTTTAAATGCCAGGATAATTTATGTTTCTGTATTATTTTGAGATGAAAGATTTTCTTTTCCTAGAATATTTCAAGTTTATTTTTTAAGTAGCACGATTGTGATATTATTATTAGTATTATACTCTTTACACAGTAGTAGCTGAAACCTTTTCCACTATAGATATGAAGACGGAAAAGTAATTAAAAACTTTCTCACTATAATAATAATAATAATTAATATTATAATAAAGTGTCTTTATTTTGCATTGTAATATACAATACATGAAAACATACAGAGGCGAAGTCTAGCTAAGCTACTCCACTTAACCTCTAAACCAGTGGTCGCCAACCTATCGATCGCGAGCTACCGGTAGCTCGCGGTAGCTCTCACAACGATTTTAATTTAAAAAATACAAACTGCAAAAATCAGAGAAGCTTCTGAAAATTCCACAAAGAAATCTAATTGTCATAATATTAAACATAAACAGCAGCGGTGAGCGATCTGCCGCTGACGCCATCAAGTTAGAATCGGCTAGAACCGACCAGCCGGACCAGCGCGTTAGTGTTCGAGAACGATCAGGATTGCTTTGAACGGGACAAATACGCACGGCGCGGCGACATTGCGCTTAGTTTAAAACTGAACGCCTAACCAACGTCCAGCGGTTGGGTTAGTAGAGAACAACAAAAAATAATATTATGGCAAGCAGTTGTAAGAAGGTAAAGACATACCACTTTCATTCGGAATGGGAAGAACAATACTTTTTTACAGAAGTTAAAGATAAAAATGTGTGTTTGTTATGTAATACTTCGGTCTCCGTTGCTAAAAAAGGAAATATTGTGAGACATCATAAAACTGTACATTCTAATTTTGAAAAATCATTCCCACTACATTCTGCCGCCAGAAAGAAGAAACTGAAACAAAAAAGCAGTTAATTGGACAACAATCAATATTTTTAAGAACAGTCGACAAAAATAAGGCTGCAACTGAAGCATCGTACCGTGTGTCCCAGATAATTGCACAAAAAAAGAAACCTTATGAAGACGGGGAAATGATAAAACAGGCGTTTTTAGAAGCTGCTGATTCGTTATTTGCCAACTTTAGAAATAAAGACGAGATAGTTTCAGCTATATGCAACTTTCTGCTAATACAGTGATGAGACGTGTGTAGAAGTAATGAGCAATGATATTTTTTTACAGTTAAGAACTGACTTAGATAACTGTGTTTATTTGTCACTTCAACTGGATGAATCAACAGATGTCGTTGACACTGCCCAGATGGTCGTGTTCGTCAGGATGGTTTTTAGTGATTTTACGATTAAAGATCTTTTGAAGTTTATTCCACTGAAAGGACACACTACTGGACATGAGTTGTTTTCTCATTTAAAAAATATTATTTATTTCGAGAAAATTCCAATATCGAAAATGGTAGGCTTGACAACCGATAGCGCTCCAGCTATGGTGGGTTGTGATAAGGGTCTGGTGGCGTTATGTCGTAAAGATGAAACTTTTCCGCAATTTCTCTGTTACCACTGCATTATGATAACAGAATTTAAAAAAAAAAATAAATTTCCAGATTGGAGTAAAAAAAGATTGAGGATCAATTTATGTTACAATAAGTTAACAAAAAGTAAAATTTGACAATATTACGTAACGTATTCATTCCATTTCCATCTCACAAAATATATAGTTCGAAATTGGGTGTTAGTAATCCTAAATTTGATCCAAACGAAGAAAAAGATAAATAAAACAGATATTACTTCATTGTCATCCAGTATTAATGCATTGTCTTAAATAAAATTGCATCGCTACAGAAATTTCAACTCAACAATGCAGTACAAAATTGTTAAATATTTGCAATACTACACCTGCCATTATTCGTGAAACTCCCGGAGATTCTTATAAAATTCCGCATGATAATATGTCAGAAAGTTCTGGTATAGTTAGTTTAGTGATACATATTCTCGAGAGAATAAGAACTAGTTAGTTCCAAAGTAGAACACCAAGATGAAAAGAGCAAATACAAAGAGTGCGGAGTCGGGTATTCGGAGTTCATTAAGATATTGAGGTTGAGTGGAAGAGCTTCATATTTTACTTCTTTACATCTAAAAGTTGAACTGTGGCTTTTTACTAACGTTACTGTTGAAAAGTGATGTATTTTTTTTATTTTGGTATTTTACTATGCTAATAAAGCTATAAGCAAAGACAAAATAGTTCAGTGCCATTTTATCTTCTGTTTGTCAACCGATTTTCCTTTTTTTTTTTTAGTTTTTTTGTGTAGCTATTGACAAGCTTTAGTGTTATCAATAAAAAAATCACTTATAGTTCAGATTTTTGGACGTCAATAAAAACTGACACTTCCACGTATAAATCCAGGTGGGTACAAAAATGCTCCAATTCATTAAATCCGTGTTAACTGTGTATTCATTGGCCTCTATTCTATCTGAAACTAATTTGGCGTTTTTATTTGCGAACGTTGTTCCAACCCTAACCGGGTAAAAACCTCTGACGCGATCACTTGGAAATTACATTTGAAAACAATGAACCAGAGGTTTCGCGTGTCACTGGCCAATTTCATAGAGGCGGTGCAATGTGTGATACTGTTCGGGATATTTACTATTAGGAAGCCTTAGGTTGTTTTAATTAGATGTAACATACAGCAAAAACCTTCATAATCCCGTTTCACCTGACATAAAAATTTGGTACGTTTTGCCTGACTACATGTTAAACGGAAAAAAATAGTTGCGATTCTCCTGACCTGCTCAGGTAATAAATATGTATTTGCGGTAATGAAATCTATTACTAACAAATGAATAATAATAAGAAATGAACATAAAATTAAATTAAAATGTTATAGTTATTTAATTTGATATAAACAAAAAAATATAGAGCACTCAGTATAGTAAAAAGTTAGTAAAATAAAAACTAAACATATTTTCAAATTGACGAAGCGTAAAGCGAATAAACTATTTGAATTTAGAAATTTTTTATATGTCCCAATAACCGGGCTAGGACAAAAAAATATATTTAAAATCTAAAATTCCTCCAGTAATAACTTCAACTATACATTACTTTAGAAAAGAACTTAGTATATCTACGAAAAACGATTTAAAAGAAAAATTATCAAGATGGTTTAGAAAATTTAAAAATAATTGATTTAAAAACACATTAGAAGCTTTAAAAAGACATTGAATTGATTTCTTCTACTGTTACTAACTTTGATATCTCACAAAGTGTTCGATTGTGCATTTACAATATTTAATTTAAGGATTTTTATTACATGATGGACACTTTTCAACTATGTTTTGATTGAGTAGACTAGCCTCTGATCCTGTGTCAAATAATAAATTAACTTCTATGTTATTAACTTTTGTTTTTTTTTTATTATTATTAAATCTGTTTTAATGGTATTATTTATTACTTGAATATTTTCTGATTGCAAAAAGTTTTTGGGGTTTTCATATAGACTTATAAAAAATGGGAAATTTGGTAATTTTGTTCATTAATTTCATTTTCAGGGTTTGGTGGATTGTCTGCTATTAGCGTTTTGTTGTTCAGTATTTTGATTATGTTCTTCATTTGTCCTCATACTTTGTCATCTCTTGTTATTTAGATATAAATACATTTTACTTACATAAGAAGCCTTAAAAAGACATTGAATTGATCCTTGTTTTCTTTAGTTTTACATTTGATTTTTATCCTGTTTTACAACCTGGAACGACGTAAATCTTGCTTTAATGTTTTTTGTCACTCATGTTACTTGTACCATTTTTTTAAATAATCACTTTATTTTACATTGACTTACATAGAAAATTGATTCCGCTGTCATTAGACATGCCAACTACAGTCAATTTCGCGAACTTTATAAAAAGAAGGACGGAAATTTGAAATTTGACCATAACCGATTCGCCTCCTTCTTTCTTGTCTTCATATTAAGAACATATGAAGACTCTAGTCTTCATAGTACAAATGTACTAAACTGATTGAATCCGATGTTGCCAAATATCCAAATATTTTTGGTCAATTATTTATTTTACTGATTCTTTTTGTCCAGTAGTTTCTCTTTGCCCGGATTTCCCCCAAGACCTACAAATATTTTAGTCTATTTTCTAGTTTTATGCTTTTTTTTATATTTTTTATTTTATTTATTAGTGCCTATTTTGACAAATTCCATACAATTGTACTTTCTTATGGAAAATAAATCATATTTCATTCTCTTGAGTCTTCTTTTTAGGTTGGTATTTTTTTAACTAAATATCTCGCGTGTTTGTAATAGGAGTTTCTATTCAAGAAGCTATATTGCTTTATTAATGTTAACCTTAACCAAAATGACACTTCCGCGAAGTCAATAACTTGAAAAATTTAGAATGGATCAATACATTCCCAATACATTATTAAATGTATTAATCAGTTCGAACATCCGCTGCCGGTATAAATAATTTTGGACTGAAAAGAAAATAAAATTGACTTGTTTCTATTATTAGATTATCGGTTTTCTTTTAATAATCTTTTCAAAATAAGTTTGGTTATTATTTATATTATATACAAAACGTAAGGGAAACCCAAAACGGTAAACGAACAATAGGATTGATAATCTATCTGATCCGAGTAATTTTCCGAAAACACCTAATGAAATAGCTAAATATAGCCGCCCGATTTGGAAGAATTTGAATCAGGAATTGAGAGTAAAAATTATTAGCAGACCGGTTACCATGTCAAAAAAATCATCCACTGTAATAAAAACTAACAAAACTCAGTAAATTTGTTAATGTTATCGGTATTTTCTAGGCTTCTTTACATTATTTAATTGAAATATTCGCTTGCCTAATTAAACAGTTACTATTTTTAAATCTTTAATACGTTTACATACGATATATTTCCTCATCGATTACTTGTTAATATAGTTTATTATTTCAGGCCCTCCAACCCTATGTCTGTTAGATATCAGTCGTTAGATCGAGGACCCACCATGGACCACGAACGAGAATTTTTACCAATACGAGATAGGCGAGATAGGTCGCTGGACAGAGGCTTGTACTTTGATGATGAACCTTATAGCTCTAGGTGTGTAAATTCTTTATACTTTTAACGAACCATAAAATACCTAAACAATAATAATTATACTTGGAAGTTTCTAGAAATAACAAATGTAAACTATTTCTGTTGGTTGAGGTTTTAAATCAAGAAAATAAAACACCGATATCTAATTTTATCGTATAATAGCCACAGACCAAAAGCGAAAATGAAAATATATAAACACAAACTGTCTCAACGAAGGCAGGTGTATGCATGCATTGTATAAAGAACTATATAGTAGGATAATCGCCATGTAAAAATTATTGGAGGCAATCGCGCCCGACATCTATTGGTAAAATCATTGAACTAACGATTTTATTTACTGGTTAGATACGCCCTCTACGTCAGATGTTAGAACTTTATAAGTGACAATTTCGTCAAATTAATTGTCAGTATATATTTTTTTAGTTATTTAGATTAAATATAAATAAAAATTAGTGATTCTTCTAAAGAATCAATAAATAATAGCATTCCACAAGATATTCGTCTATATTTAGAAATAAACTGAGATTTTAATGAAACTAGAAGCTGTCTGATTATCAGCGTTAAAAAGTAAAATTTTTTCATAAGCCTTCATAACGAACATTTAGAGTACTTGTCTACGAATCGAAGGGTTCCGAGTTCAAACCCCCGAGTGGATACTTTTTTTTTATTATTTAATTTTATTTTCTAAATTCTTAAAACTTAAATTAATTTCAAAACATTAATTTTACGTTAATAACATCTAAATCTTCATGCTCAAATTTCGTCTTTTTGCTATGGCCACTCGGGATCATCAAATTATAATAGAATATTATAAGGTCCGGTAATTTTATTTAAATCTTTTGACAATGAAACTAAAAATGTGTGTGTCTAAAGGAGAAATATACCGAAAATAACAAGTATTTAAATTTTGCTAATAAATTTATATTAGGTATGTGTTAAAAGAAAATACATCATTTTGGATTTGAATATACAGTGTGTCGCAAAATGTCTGCACCAAGAAAACGCCCCAAATTACATTTTTTTTAATCTACGTAAAAAAGTGCGAATTAAATTTTTTTTACTGAAAATTTATGGTACCTAACAGGGTTATTCATTATAAATTATCCTCCCTTTATGCTATAATTATTATTGTATAATGTTTACATTGACCGAATTTTGTAAAAATGTCATCAAATGACCATATCAGTGGTGTGCATATTTCACAGGATATATATATTATTCAAATTTCGAAATGATCTTTATTCTTTCCTGATTAATTAAACGTCGAATATCATAGATAATCTATGTCGAATATCTTATAAATATTTACACTTTTTCTTTCTCACTGTAAACTACTTATTTGGATTATTTTATTATCAAACATAATAGTTGTGATTTTCATAGCTTTTACTTTAATAATGTTAACTTTTTCATGTTTACATTATCAACGTTAAATTACTCGAGAACAGAAGGTATAAGATAGGGTTATCAATAATATACATTTGTGAAATTAGAAAAAAAATATCCCAGAAATTTAATAACATAGAGGGTATCCCATTTAAAAAAGTTTATTTGTGTTGTATTCCGTGAAATCTGAATACGTGTTTTTATGGCATATTTAAAAAAAGTCAGTCATATTCACAAACTTTTATTTAAAGCTTTTTTTGAATATGCAATAGTGGTTATAAAAGGTGTCTTTAATAATGAATAATCTTGTACATGATCTCAAATAAATTTGTTGAAATTAATTTCATTTGTAAAAATGTCACTTCCGCTTCTCCCGTATTGCTAAAAAAAATTGTGTCCAGGTTCAGGATTTGATGGTGGTAATATTAATTCTACATACATTTTTCAAGTAACATTGTTCTCCTATTTTTAGAAATAAAGGTTAATGTTTAGCCAAATTCATATATTTTTTTTTGGACACACAGTATGTTTGTATAATATTAAAAACTTCCCCTACTAAATATTTTGGCTCAATCAAAGTAGATATCTTAAATTGATTATTGTTAGAAAAAATAGAAATAATATTAAATATAATAAAGAAATTAAAAAAATAATTTAATTTAATAATTTGATTTAAAAATTGAAATTTTGGGTTTATATGTATAAAAAATTGTAGATTTTAACTGCTTTTTTTTTAAGTTCTAACTTGATTTTTTGGGGATGCCACACCTTCCATCTCCCTCTAGGGGATGGTGGTGGTAAGATATTTATACAAAAATGTTGCAAATCATTTCTATTGTAAATATGCCAAAAATAAGATTTTTATCTCGTCTGTAACTATTTTTAAATGCCAGCCCACACATCCGAACTATGAAGATTAAAGTCGAAATTTTTTCTAAGTTCAAAATTGAAAATTTTTTTTCAAAAAAATTGGAATTTTGTGTTTTTATGTATAAAAAATCGTAGTCTTCAACTGTTTTATTTAAAAAGTTCTTGACTTGATTTTTTGGAAATGCCACCCTCACCATATCAGATAGGGGTGGGGAGGGGTGAATTTTTTAAAGCGATTTTTATTTTTATGGGATAATACATCCATATACCAAGTTTAGTTTCAATATTTCGACCCTATCCCTCAAAGCCGAACCCCAACCAATAATCCTTATAGAACCCATTGTGTTATTTACTTCAATATTAAGAATTCATTTATATTATTTACCATCCATCTTAAGGGTTTTTTTATTACATTGTTACGTACCAGATTAAAGAAATAACCTGTTGTTTATAATTACTTATGCTAAGTACTTAGGTATTTAAATTAAAAATACAATTTTTGCAACACTTAAGAAATGTATTATTATTGTTATTATTAATATTATATAATTTATTTTAAATTAATTCGGATAAAACCTGTAAAGAAAACGAAAAACAAAAGCATATTTTCTATTTTATTAATTTCAAAACAGTTATAAATACACAATTTTTTTTTTTGGGAACTCGTTCCTTTATTAACAGTAAAATAATTCAGTAATAAAACATAAACACAACTCATTCACAATACCTACTACCCGTAGACGCACTAACGCACAATAACAAACAGATAGAAAATAGTCCAAACATTCAATCACGAGTGTATAAAATTTCATCCAAGAGCTAAAAATAGAAATTTATCGATCGGTCTCAGTCATTCTTAAAAATTTCTGCTGGACCCTCAACTCCGCCCACTGCAAAGGAATATCGACTTATCCATATTCACTAGCGCCATCTATTAGTAGTATCCATTTCGCTCCAATGAAACTTCCATAAGGTGAGACTACTATTTAGTTCTTTATACAATGATGCATGTTCCTTTTTCAAGTGTTACAGACTAAGATATCAACCTGAAATATTAAGATCGTCTTTTCTTCGATTACGGTTAATGTACTACCCAATATCCAGGGGCGGAGGTAATTTGCCCACAAAATATTTAAAGCTGCTAATCCTATTGGTAATTTGCCCACAGCAAGTAAAAGGTCATCTTAATCCTGTTGGTATTTTGCCCAAATTTATTTCTAACTGAATAAATCATAATAGATATATCTTTCATTTATTATTTTTTATATATTATCGAAAAGTAAAAACACATTATTAATTAAACTAAAAATTATATTAAACACTAATTTTTATTATTATAAAAAAGTAAGTATACATAAGTTATATTATATTTTTTATATATTTATATTTTATTTACATATTTTTCAACTGGGAGGGATAAATGTGGATAAATAATAATAATAATAATAAATAATGGATAAATTTTATATACTCTAATCTCCTGATTTGCTGCAGATCAAATCGCTGTATAAATTTTTCTAAACACTGAATTTTTTGTTCTACACTTTTGTCTTTGATTTTCTTAGGTATACTTAAGCTTTGTATTGTGACATACGTGTCGATTTGAAAGTTTTTAAGCTTTTCTATAAAAATATATACAGAAGGATGTGTACAGTAGAATGAAGAATTAAACCTTGAATGAAACGACTCACAGGCATTTGTAGTTCTTGTAATTGAAGCTGTTTTTTCTGCCCATATACTTGGAGGAAATGTAGAATTTTCTTCAATATATGTTTCTAATAGGTAATCGGCATACCTATCGAGAACGGCATTTTCTGGTTTACTTGCCATTAAGTCAAACACAAAACAGTCTCCAACTTCATCGGCGTTTAAATATGTCAACCCAAATGATGTTTTAAGCCATTTTCCGGTATCACTGTTAGTTGTATATTCAGTCATTAATCCCAGAGACTGAATTTTACGATACCACGCTTGATGTAAATGAAATCGGCAGCCATTGATTACAGTATTAGGCCACATATAAATTAACGCCTTATGAATTGCTATTTCAAAATCAACGAACACTTTAGATGGATTTAAAGCAATACTGTAAGTTTCCAAAATTTTATAATGCAATAACGAAAACAAATGTTTGTATATATCGGTAGATTTGTTTGGTAATAAACAATATACCAGGGGCACATAGTGTCCATTACACAGCCCATGAATGGTAAATAATTGTAGGAAAAACTTTGTACAATACGAAAATGTTCCATCCATATACAAGACGTTCATTTTACACAAAGTACGAATATTTGTCTCACATGTAAATACAATAATATTATTTTCTCTGGTATTTATTAAAAGATAATGTTCACCTTTACTGGTTTTAAATGTATTAGAATATAAGTCAACTGCATCATGCACTTCTTGTATATTTGTAGGTAATGGACCTGGTAGTATTTTGAGACGACTGTTGTATATAGTTTTTCTTATGTAGGACACATCAATTGTAGTTAGTGACTCTGGTAAATTAGTAGCAAGTACTTTACGGATAATTTTAGGTTTTTCCGAAATATCATCAACTGCTTTTCGCTTACACGAATTAGAAATAATTTTCCTGTTTAATTTCGGTTCATTTGCTTCATGGCTATGAATTAGGTTGCCTCTGGATACTAAAAGTTCAGGACCAATTGTAAATACAGTGGCATTACAAGCATTTGTTTTTCTTTGGGAGCATCTCCAAGAAACTTCTCCACTTTTCATTTCTCTATCTTTGGCAAACGTAAAATTCTCCAAAAGGAGTACATCTTTCCCGCGTGTGCTTTTAATCAATGTAGCTGACATTATAGAAATAATTATTGTTTATAAACACTCGAATTACAATCATCAACGTATAAAAACTGACTGAAATATAAACAGTAAACACCCAAAGTAAGTACCTATTAGAATTATTAATAATCAGGTAGGTACCTATTTGTGGGCGGATGTAATTTGCGGGTTTAGGTACCTGAATGCTACTGTGGGCAAAATACCAGCAAGATTAACGCACCCCTTTACTTACACAGGTAGAAAACAGAGATTTGTGGGCAAAAAGGACCCGCCGATATCCAGGGTGATTCATAACTATTGGAACATAGGCTAAGGGTAGGTTATTTGGACCAAAATATAGCTATAGGGCCAAATATACCTCGGTAAAATATTGCTGTGGAACAAGGCGTTAAATAATAATAATAATAATAATAATAATAATAATAATAATAATAATAATAATAATAATAATAATAATAATAATAATAATAATAATAATAATAATAATAATAATAATAATAATAATGATAATAATAATGGACTATTATCTTACAGCAAAAATAATTCGGTTACGTTCGACTTTAGGGACACACTATTTAACCAACTTCACTTTGTTTTTTTGATTTAAATGATATTATGTATGATTTTAATTCACCTTAGGTTTGGAAATACGAAAAAAAGTATAAATCAAGTATATATTTTAATTAAATACTTTTTATAAATAAGTAATTTTATAATAAATAATTTCGTATACTAATCTTCGAATAGCATTTAGAACCTCTCATCAAATGTTTTTTGAAGTCCTGGTCTTACATCAATTCTTTTTGAACTAGATATTGTCCCATTAATAACTGTAAGAAACATGTTGAGTATTTAATATTATTTTTAATTTGGAACTAATGAGTAAAACTTACCAGTGCTTTGATAAATTTTGGATATAACATCAACAATTTTGGTGTTTGGTTTATTATCCAATGCCTATTTGTACATATTTATTATTTACTGATTTCTGAGAGGCTTAAATCGCTTGAACTCGTTCGTTTTCGTTGTTTTAGTAATCTCTGCGGGAACTGCTATAATAGTACTCGATGTAGAAGGATCTATAATGGTAGACATTCAATACAATTACTTATTTAAGTTCTGAAAATAACTGTTATTAACGAAATAAAATAACTAAGTAATAATGATGAGATATAACAGCAATAACAAAACTTAAAATATAAAATATCATAACTGTTAACAATAACAATTATCAGCTAAAAAATCTGACCAAAAAACAACCAAACACGAAGTAAAGTGTTCATTACCAGCGATCACTTTATATAACAATTAAGGATAAAGTTTTAACACCACTCATTTTCTTTTATTAAAAAATAAAATTTAAATAGCTTTCTTTCTAGATCAGCTCGGCAATCCCCAACCTCCCACCAACCCTTCATTGGAGAACTGCAACATCAAAATTCCGACCTGCAACGAGACCTTGCCAATTTAAAAAAAGAACTAGAATTAACCAACCAGAAACTAGGATCGTCGATGCATTCCATTAAAACCTTCTGGAGTCCGGAGCTGAAAAAGGAAAGGGCATTGCGAAAAGAGGAGTCAGCCAAGTACAGCCTAATCAACGACCAGCTCAAATTACTTAGTAACGAAAACCAGGTTAGTGCTAAATTAATTTCGTTGTTGTAGGTAATGTTTGCGAGTTTGAGGTCTGTTGAAATATCGGATCGTATTAATTAATGCTTCCCGTTGTTGGCGTTAAAATTGCTCGTTTATTGAATTTTAGTTTATTTCCTTATACAATATTTATTGTTGTATTCATTTAAAAATAATAATTTTTTAATTGTAATATTCTTTATTTCTTCTTCTGTTAAATTAATCCAAAAAACAATAATTTTGAACTTCTAGGTAGACGAGAATCAACCCCTTCATCCCTTTTCGATAAGAAAACTCCCTGAATTAGAAAAGTATTCTTGAATATATAAAAAAAGTTAATCTGGCAAACATGTCAAGCTTGTACTAATCTATTTATCTTGCAGATTTTTGCATCTACTCTATCAAGAATATAAACTAATTTAAATAGTGAATTATGTAACACAAATTACGTAATATCAGTCGTAAAATGCGAGAGACTTCCTCTTCTCCTTTTTTTAATTAAATGAACAAAACGGCCTTATAATAGCCAGACAAATTGAACGTTGTCGGTTGCTAACTCAATGTCGTACTTGTGATTCATTTGCTCATTACTTTAACGTTCAGACTTGTTAATAGACGCATTAGGGGGGTTATTTTTAGTAGATATTTCAATAAAATGTTTATTTTGTTTACTGTTCGTCAATTCATATTATTTCCAGTTTTAAAAATACATTTTTCTGATTTTGATATTTAAAATGACATTTTTTCTAATAGTAGTAAAGTTCTCTTACCATCTCATCTTCTAGATTTATTTGTGAATGCGGAGTGTTTTGTTTACTTTTTCAAGAATTCTCATCTACGATCCTCATTGCTTTCAAGCTTATCTCCTATCTCTTCTAGTTGTAAAGCTCTAGCTCCAAATCCAACAGCTTCTGCTTTTTCTTTAAGTCTTCTTGCTCTAACTGCTAGATGCTTGGCTATTCTTGGTAAATATGCCGGAGAACAAATCGCAATAGTTAGTATATATAACATATAGACATAGAATGCAAAGAATGGACACTAGATTACATACAGGCATATGAACAACAATTCTTACTCTTTTCTAGTGGAAATATATTTACTTGAATTATAACCTCCTTACTAAATGGAAAACCTATAATCGCATTTTCGGTGAAATTTGTTGAGAATGTATTTATCTACTTATAATTCGATTGCTGTAAGAAATTCTTGGAATTAAAATAAAACAAAATTGGCAAATAGGTACTTATTGAAAATAATCTTAAGATACGGCTATGTAATCTTTAATACACAGGGCTTTTGGCCTGTCCAAACATTTTTCTATTGTTCTGTACAGCTTATGTTTATAAAGGACCAATAAAAGACCCAAAACTTGTAATAGCTCAGGTACACTTATTACAATTTTAGGAAATATTTAGATTATTCTGTAAAAATATTTAAAATGACCGTACTAAGTTTTGCATTAGAAATGCTGTTTTATTACTCTCTCATACATAAAAATAGACTATAATTGCGGAACTTCCTCCGCTTGGACTTTCGTCTGTCCTGTCAAAGGGGGTGCTCTCTCAAATTGGACCTTTTTCTGTTTTAATTATTTTAATCGTTTGCTGCATCTTAGTTAATCTGTGCATGTAAATTCATTATTTCCGTAGTGCTGGTGTCAATAAAGGATCAAGGACCATATGCTGTAATGTACAAATCTATAAAATGGATATTTATATTCGTGTCAAAGAACCAAAATTATTAATTAAAAAAGATTAAGATCAACAACTTCTTTTTCTTGTCACTCTCATCAATTTTTTATCAATTTTTTATATGTAATAACTAAGAACAATATAAACATTAACAAGTCAATTCGAATAGAAATCGATATGTAACATTTATTAATAAGCGTACAACCTAATAATAATTCTGTTTCGGTTTCTATTTTTCAAAAATTTTATCATTTAGATAATATTAGAAAAATCTTGTAGGTAACACTATACGAAATGCGCTTTTGTGTAACTCGTTCATCTTGCGAGACCTCGCTCTGCTCGTGCCGCAAATATTCAGTCTTAACATAAAATAAAGCATTTAGTAACTGGTTGAATAAATATCTAATTGACCACCTTATATTTTGAGTCTAATTTGACATACAATTAACTCTATATTTCTCTTACTACTAGAAAAAATGAAAGTATTATCTACGTAGGGTAATATTGATAAAACTTCTGGTGATCTTTTGCTAGCCATTCTCAGCTTACATACTATAAATATACTGAAATTATTACCACAGCTGAAAAAACTGATATCAGTCTGAATTGATTTGTGTAATATGGTCGGATAGTCACGTAAAGCATCTTAAATACAGTATTTATTTACGACAGATTCTCTGCTTCATGAAGTACAAAAACATGCCTTCTTACGAGCATGAAAGGAATGTTTTATATTCCGTCGCATTTACACATGGTAGTTAAGTGTGTTGGGCTATATACACATAAACACTGTTAAAAGTTCATCTATTTTTGGATTTCCAAAGAGTTTGGTTTAAGTTTTGCTGTTAATGTTGTAAAGATAAATTAAAATTTTAAAAAAATTGGGACAATTGGTGTACTGTTCACAAGTATAGTCTATTTTTATGTATGAGAGAGTAATAAAACAGAATTTCTAATGCAAAACTTAGTACGGTCATTTTAAATATTTTTACAGAATAATCTAAATATTTCCTAAAATTGTAATAAATGTACCTGAGCTATTACAAGTTTTGGGTCTTTTATTGGTCCTTTATAAACATAAGCTGTACAGAACAATAGAAAAAGGTTTGGACAGGCCAAAAGCCCTGTGTATTAAAGATTACATAGCCGTATCTTAAGATTATTTTCAATAAGTCCCTATTTGCCAATTTTGTTTTATTTTAATTCCAAGAATTTCTTACAGTAATCGAATTATAATAATTATAACAAATTTCACCGAAAATGCGATTATAGGTTTTCAATTTAGTAAGGAGGTCCTAGTTGTGTATTCTTTACAGTTAACTAAATGTCGTTTAGTTGCAACTTGCAAGGTGCAGTGTGAATTCTAGTGTGATCATGGAAAATTTGGAAGGGCTGCGTAAACAACAAAAAATTAGTCCTTTAACAGTTAATGAAAAAACATTAATATTAAATTGTTTTAAATCATTTACATACAAACATTTATGTAAAAGTGTTGATGACACAGTGGAATTAGTTAGTAGTACGCTTGGTGTTGGGAAATATACGATTTACAGAGTTGTTAAAGAAGAGGAATGTGGCGAGTTTCAAACAGCAAGTAAAGCTCCAGGAAAACCAAAATTTCAATTAGAAAATCTTTTGAAAGAAAGACTTCAAAGGAAAGTGCATGCGTTCTTCTTTAGAAAAGAATTTCCGACAGTAGACAAAGTTCTTGCCACGGTTCGAGATGATAAGGGTCACCCTGAAATGAGTCGAAGCACACTATGGAAACTTTTAAAAAAAATAGGTTTTCTATGGAAAAAGCATTCCAGAAAGTCTATTTTAATAGAAAGAAGCGATATTGTAGTATGGAGAAGAAATTACCTAAGGACTATAAAAGAAATGAGAAACCATTTTGTCATATTACAAAAAAACGTGACATCGGACGGACGGACATTTTTAAAAGTTTTTAAAATTTAATGAGAAAAATTTTGGTACAAATTTTTTTTTGTGTTATCGGCTTCAACTGCTAAGGTTATTTCGCACTGTTAATTAGAAACCAACAGTGAATGGTCGAGTGGGGAATCTAACCAAGGCATCAGAATTAATTTCAAATGGTACAAAAAAAAATTAAATTTGGATGAATATTAAAAATTTTGTTTTCTTGAAAGTAAACCTATTTATAATATACTCTTCAAGAGTATAATAATAGTAGCAAATAACGTTTTAAGTGGATACCTATAGAATAAATTTCGCATAGGTCTAAGATATGAAATGTGTTATTTGCAAAAAATAAAACTAATAACAAAAATTTGAAAGTCTAGAACTGGAGCTTTGGACATTTATTTCAGCTGCAGAAAAAAGGTTGAATGATGCATATTATTATGTAGAAGTTAACGAAAATAAAATAAAAGAAAAAGAACGTCTAAAACAGTTCAGAGAAGGTAAAGCACATATAAAGGAAACGCAAGAAATAGAACAGCCTATAAAACTAAATAAAAATTCCGAAAGAAAAATAGTACAAAAAGTAAATCAAGATGAAAAATGACGATGATGATGATAACATTGAAGAAACAACGAAAAAAATCTGATGTGTCCAACACATGACTTTCCTATCTAGTTATTACAGGCTTTTTCCGGTTATTTTGTACAACCTATTGCAGCATCTCTATAAATGTTTAGAGGATAAACTAAATATATACATTGTCCATATACATCTTCCGCGAAACATTTTTCTATAGATATTCATTGAAAATGAAAATACTGAAAAATTTAAATTTAGCACTTTTCCTACAATTTTTCCATTACGGTCCATTTTAAAAAAATCATGTATGAACAAATATTATAGAGATCGATATCGCAAACAACTTTTATTTCAACAATTTTCATAAAAATCAGAATTTTGCACATTTTGTCAAATTTTTCGAATACGGACCATTTCAGGAAATTTTTACATAAAGCAAAAATTATAGATAATAATATTAGAAGTAACTTTTATTTGAACAATTTTTTTCTCCAAACATAAATAACAGATATATTCCATAAAATATAAAAACGGCCTCCCATAAAGTACCCCCCCAGATGTTCCGACTTTGTCCAAAATCTAATAATTTCACGTCAGACCGAAGTAAACCTTAAGTTTAAAATTTAATGTTTTTTTCCTTTATCCGTTTTTGAGTTTTCTTCAAATTTCGAAATTTACACATTTTCTCAAATATCTCGAATACGGTCCATTTTAAAGAAATTATGTATAGAATAAAAATTATAGAGAATTATATTACAAACAACTTTTATTTGAACAATTTTTATAAAAAATTATTTTTTTTACATTTTGTC